CTCTCTGCAGGTTCGTGAAGTGGATCGAGGACGGAATTCCCGAAGATCCCTTCCTGAACCCGGAGCTGATGAAGAACAACCCCTGGGTGGAGAAAGGCAAATGCATCCTCCTCTGAGGGTCCCCCCTGCAGGATGGAGCTTCCATTCCTCAGCTCCAGCTTGAGAAGCTGAAGGAAAAGCCTGTCCTCACCTCCTTTCTTCTCTTGTAGCTGTAGAAGGGGTTTTAGAAATGGGGTGAAATCCCCCAGAATTGGCAGAAAAAGCTTCCCCAGGGCTTTGCTGCAGCTTCATCTCACATTTCTGCCACCCAAAAACGGGGCAGATCTTGCACCTTATAAATGAGCTTTTTATAAAAAACCCCATTTTTAGTGATTTTAGATGCTTTTGTACACTGTAGGACATCATTTCGCAGCAGAGCAGGCAGAACTCGAGGTTTATGACTGGAATAAACAGAGCAACACTCCCCTGCTGATTTTTGTAGATCCATTTTATTTCTCTTTTTAAACAAAATAAAAAACTACTACGCCAAGATCACAGCCACAAACCCCATCCATGGGTTAGAAAGCCAAAACCCAGCTGATCCCTCCAGCTCCAGAATTCCTGGCTCCCTCCCAGCCCTGCTAGAGCAGGTCCCTGATGTAAAGGTTCCTCCTGACGGCGTTGGAGAAGCCCTCGTTGAAGCGGAACCACACGTCGCTCTTCCCCACGGCTTTTCCCATCTGCAGCTCCAGGGATTCCTCCTTGGAAACCTGAGGGGCTGCAGGAGGAAAATCCACTTTAAAAACGTAAACCTTTAAAATGTTCAGCTGTGCCCTGGCTGGGGAGGGGGGATTTAGGGAGGGTTTGAAGGGCAGGTGTTCCACACATCCCGGATGCTGCAACACCTCCAACACCCAAAATTCCCTTTGGATGGGGCCAGAATCCATGGATTTGCCCACAGGATCTCCCTGCCAGCTGGGCTGGGCTCTGTTTGGCCCTGCTGCCACCCACCCATCTCTGAGGCCTCCCCATCCCTGTGTCACCCATCTCTGAGGCCACCCTGTCCCTGTGTCACCCACCTGGGGCCGGGGCCGCCTCTTTCCGCTGGACTGGCCTCCCGAAAAAATCCCTCTCGGGCTGTGGGAAGCAAAATAGCAGGAATGGAGTTGGCTCTGGAGCAGCTGCTGCTCAGACAGGGACCAAAGCAGGGCAGGATCATCCCTGGGTGAGGCTCAGGCACCTCAAGGCTCTTCTGAGCAAAGCAGGAGCCAAATGCAAATGCTGTGGGAAGGATGCAAAGAGCATTCCAATTTAGGGAAAGGCAAAACCTCGGGTGGGGTTTTACACCCGGGAAAGGGCTGGCACAGAGGGGCAGTGCCAGGGAATGATCCTCTCTTGGAGCCCAGGGATTCCCAGGGTGCCATCATCCCAGAGCAGCTTTTCCAAGCTGATTTCCCACAGAGCCCAAATTCGGCTATTCCAGCCCAAATTCCCACAGCTCTTCCCTCCCCCAGCCCTGCAAACTTCCAGAGACACATCCAAAATGTCACCCAGATCCAATCCATCCCAATCCCAGCGACGCCTTTAGGGGACACACGGAGCTGGGCTGGGCTATTAAAGGAAACTGGACTGGAAAACCAAATTCCAGAGGAGCCAGGGAGTGTCTGGCAGGCCAGGGAGGAGCTGGTGGGAACTGGGGCAGGAATTGGGGCAGGAATTGGGGCAGGAATTGGGGCAGGAATTGAGGCTGACCTTGTCCTGCACCACTGCTCTCCTCAGGAGGTGCTCCAGGCGCTGCTGGTGGCTGGGGGTCTCCGCTGGCTCCGCGTCCCCTCGCTCTTCCCCGAGGCCATTCCCGGGGTCCTGTGGGGAGCACAGAGCTGATCCAGGCTCCCCTCGGGGTGCCTGAGCATCTGTCACCCCCCTGTCCCCCATCCCACCCCTCCTGCCCGCTGCCAGGTGGGATTGAAACATCCCAAGGATTTTCCCATCATTTTCAGCCCCAGCTGAAGCTCCTTTCCCTGGGATTTCACATCCCAGGTAAACAAGGAGCCTTCAGAGATGTTTTTGAAGCTTCTCTTTGTCCCACACATCCCCCAGGAGCCTTTCTGCTGCTCCAAGGGGCTCCCAGGGATTAATTATCCCACTGGCAGCAGGGCAGTGCAAGCATCAGCTACACCCAGGATGTTTCTCCACCTTTTCCACCCCTTCCCATCTTTTCCTGCCTCCAGGAGAGTGAGCAGAGCCATTTCTGCTCCTCCTGGGGGCTTTGGGACCTTTGGGAGTGCAGCAGCCAGGGAAGGGGAGGCAGGGAGAGCTCACCTCCCACACAGACAGGTACAAACACCAGTCAAAAATTCCCACCTAAAATAACATTCCCATCTCCTCACACCCCTGCCTGGAGAGTGGAAAGCTTCAAAGCTCGAATTCCCTCCAGAATTCCTGCAAAAAGCTGATCCCTCCAGCCCAGCTGTGCAGGGAAACAGCTGCAGCAGCCGGGGCTGGGGGGTTAATCCTGGATTTCCACTCGCACAGCCAAAGCCAGCTTTGGGAAAAACACATCCCTAAGGATTTCCTCCACATCCCCAGCCCTGGCAGCCCCTTGGCACTGCCCACCTGGCCCAGGTTCCGTTCTGCCCTCCTCATCTTCTCCAGCTCGATCTCCCTGGCGATGAGCTGCTTGGCCTGGTAGCTGAGCTGCCTGCGGGCCGGCAGCTCCGGGAAGCGGCACACGGCCTCCACGTTCCTGCAGCGCAGGAAAACAGGGAATCAACCCCCAAAATCACCCAGCTCTGCACCCCAGCACCTCCCAGCCCTGCCCCCTGCGCGATTCCAGCCGCGCTTTCCCTCCCCGCCACGCGGGAATGGGAATGAGGGAGGGATTAGAGGGGTTTAATCCCGGCTTGGAAGCAAAAAGAGGAGATTGCAGCGGGTCTGTGCTGAACAGATTGCCCTGAAAAGCCCAGGGGCACAGCACAGCTCAACCTTCAGAGCCACCCCCGGGTGCCCCTCGGGACAGCTTTTATGGGAATCCAGCCAGGAACTGGAATTTGGGATCCTCAGAGCAGCTGGATTCTCAACAAGGCTGGAGCACCAGATCTGGGGTCAGGCCTGTTTCAGCATCCCCAGCACCGAGGAGCCACCAGTCCCTCTGCCAGCTCTGAATATTTCATATTTATCCACCATTTATCCACTATTTATTCATTATTTAGTCACTATTTATCCACTATTTAGTCACTATTTATCCACTATTTATCCACTATTTAGTCACTATTTATCCCTCTATTTATTTATTATTTATTCACTATTTATTCATTATTTATTCACTATTTATCCACTATTTATCCACTACTTATCCACCATTTATCCACCATTTATCCACCATTTTTGCACTATTTATTCATTATTTATTCAGTATTTATCCATTATTTAGTCACTATTTATTAACTACTTACCCACTATTTATTCACTATTTATCCACTATTTATTCATTATTTATTCACTATTTACCCACTATTTAGTTACTATTTATCCACCACTTATTCACTGTTTACCCACTATTTATTCATTATTTATCCACTATTTACCCACTACTTACCAACTATTTATTTACTATTTATTCATTATTTATCCACTATTTATCCACTATTCACACACTATTTATTTACTATTTATTCATTATTTATTCACTATTTACCTACTACTTACCTACTATTTATTTACTATTTATTCATTATTTATCTACTATTTAGTCACTATTTACCCACTATTATTGCCCCTAAAATAAAAGGGGCAAAGCCCTGAGCCAGGTGGCTCTGCAGTCACTCAGAAATCAGCTGTCAAAACACTTTGAAACTTTTTTAAGTTTCAAAGGAAAAGCCCCAGGTTTTGCTGGTGACATCAGATTTGTTTGCCAGAGAGGGGCGCAAGTGCCAGGGTGGGTCAGGCCTGAATCCCATTGAAAACTCCAAGGAAGGGATGGGGCAAGGCCAAAAATCCCAACTCCTTCCTGAGAATCATCACAACAATCCTGGAATGGTTTGGGTTGGGAAGGATCTTAAAATCATCCAGCTGCAACCCTGACACCTTCCACTTGCTCCAGTCCCTATCCCTCCTGGCCTTGGGCACTTCCAGGGATCCAGAGAAGCTGCAGCTTCTCTGGGAATTCTATTCCAGGGCCTCCCCATCCTCCCAGGGAAGGATTTTGGGTCCCCCAGGCCGTTCCCAGCCCCGGCACTCACGGATCCAGCTTGAAGACGTACTGGCCCTCGGGCAGGCGCTCCTGCAGGTAGGTGAGGTTGTAGGTGAGCATGGTGCTGATGAGTTCAGCCAGCTGCTGCTTCTCCTTCAGGCTGTAGAGCTGCGTGTTCACCTGGCCAGGGGACAGCAGAGCTGGGAAACCCCAAACAGCCCAACCACAGCCTTTGTTTTGGGCGAGGAAGGACCCAGAGCGAGTTTAGCTCCCTCTCAGGAACACTCATCCTTCCCAGAGCAGGGACAGACCCTCTCCTGGGTGTGGGGGGGACTCTGAGAGCTCCCCAAAGCCCCAGGGGTGGGGCCCAGGACCCCTCCCCACAGTTGGGCACCTCAGCTCCCTGTCCCCAGCTTCCCTCCAGCTCCCGCAGCAGCCACGGCCCCAAACCCGGCGCGGATTTGGGACGGACACGGGGGCAGGGTGGGGTTTGGGGAGGGGTCCCAGGCAGGGCTGCAGCAGGACCAGGGGCTGGGGACACTCACGGGCCGCAGTTTGGGGGCGATGATGTCCAGCAGCAGCCCCAGCACCTCCAGCACCAGCGCCCGCTGCCCCATGCGGCTCCGCACGCCGGGCGCGATCCCCGACACCATGGACAGCACCACGTTCTGCATCTGGCTCAGCTTGGCCACGGCCTGGGGACAGCGCAGGGAGCCTCA